CCCACCTTAGGTGTGAAAGGTGGCTGGGTGACTTTGGGCCACTCACCAGGAGACCGGGAGTTCTAGTCCCACCACAGGCGTGAGAGCCGGCTGGGTGACTTTGGGCCACTCACCAGGAGGCGGGGAGTTCTAGTCCCACCTTAGGCCTGAAAGCCACCTGAACGACGCTGGGCCAGTCTCTAGGAGACGGGGAGTTCTAGCGCGTGAAAGCTGGGTGACTTTGGGCCACTCACCAGGAGACCGGGAGTTCTAGTCCCACCTTAGGCCTGAAAGCCACCTGAACGACGGTGGGCCAGTCTCTAGGAGACGGCGAGTTCTAGCGCATGAAAGCTGGGTGACTGTGGGCTGGTCCCTCCCTCAGCCCAACCCACCCCGCAGGGTTGTTGTGGAGGGGGGAGGGAAATGGGCAAAGGGAGGAATATCAGGCATCTCCACGGCCTCGTTTATCAAAATAACGATGACGGCATCCATTATTTTATTTTTTCCAAAATTAAAAAATGGACTCGGATGCAGAGTGTTTTTTTTCTGCGCCTAACCTTTGTTTCCCCTTCCTGACACCCGTCCCTCAACACAGATCATGATCAAGATTGACCGCGAAGGAGGGCGCTTAGAAAGGACGGAGGATTGCCCCCGGAGCATCTACGCCCTGGCGCTGAAATGCTGGGCTCACAACCCGGAAGAGAGGCCCAAATTCCGGGAAATCATCCACCTGTTGCAGGAGGTGAGAGGAAAACGCCTGGTTCACACAACACCTGGGGTGGGTCAGGGCTGGCGGGTTGGTGGGGGAGGAGAGAAGAAGGCCATCGTGGTGCCTGGAATATCTAAGATTCCTGTCTGGCCACCAACTGGCCAGGTTGGGACTGCCGGGTGGCTGGCATCAGCCAATTTAGGGCAGGGCCTTCCAAACGTGGCCCCTTGAAGACTCGTGGACTTCAAGTCCCAGAATTCCACAGCGAGCTGAGGGATTCTGGGAGTTGAAGTCCACAAATCTGAAAAGGAGCCATGTTTGGAGACCTTAAAGTATGATGAGATGTGGACTTCAACTCCCAGAGTTCCATAGTCAGTTAGGGAATTCCGGGAATTGAAGTCCACAAGTCTTAAAGGAGCCATGTTTGGTTTAACCTATGAAGATATGTGGACTTCAACTCCCAGATTTCCACAGCGAGCTGGAGAATGCTGGGAGTTGAAGTCCACAAATCTTAAAGGGGCCATGTTTGGAAATTTTAAAGTATGAAGTTATGTGGACTTCCACTCCCAGAATTCTACAGCGAGCTGAGGGATTCTGGGAGTTGAAGTCCACAAGTCTTAAAAGGGGCCATGTTTGGAGACCTTAAAGTATGAAGATATGTGGACTTCATCTCCCAGAATTCCACAGCGAGCTGGAGAATGCTGGGAGTTGAAGTCCACAAATCTTAAAAGGGGCCATGTTTGGAGACCTTAAAGTATGAAGATATGTGGACTTCAACTCCCAGAGTTCCACAGCGAGCTGAGGGATTCTGGGAGTTGAAGTCCACAAGTCTTAAAGGAGCCATGTTTGGAGACCATGTGGCAAGAAAGGTTGCCAGAAGCTCACTTCACGGCCGTCTCGCTTAGCGACAGGGATGTTGCCCTCTCGCATCTTTTTTGACCACGCCGTGTCTCTTTCGAACGCAGCTCCGTCCCAAAGAGATGACGGCTAGTCGTGGGTTTGAGGAGCCCGGCTGGCTCAGGCTGGAAGCCAACGACCTGGTCACTATTATCGAAGGCGGGTGAGTGAGGATGCCCGGACCGTATTTTATTTGGGGGGGTGGGAAAGGGGTCTGGTCCCCTTCTGCCCCCTCCCCAATTTCCGAACCAACCTATCCCTTCAGCTCCATCCTGCTGCTTTTTCGAGTTTCTAGTCCTCAATATCCAATTCCTCTTCTTTCCTCTGCTCCTACAGTTGTTTGGAGGGCAGGGATCCGTGAGGTCATCTAGGCCAACCCCCTTCCTGCTCATCTCTTATCTATCTAGCATCGGATTTCTAGCCATCTTGGTTTATTGCTTTGTCCGCGACTCTTAGCTGAGATGCTGCAAGTTTTAAAAAATGCCACAAATTCCCTCTCGTCCAAAACTTTCCCCGGCTTTCTAGGTTGATGGGAGCTGTAGTCCGAGTCGTTGAAAACGGAGGGTCCCCAAAACCCCAACGGGGACTTCTGGGAGGGGGGTGTATTCCTCTCATCCCCCCCCCTCCTTTCTCGCCCCTCCAGCCCCGAATCCTCCACCTGGCGAGGGCAGAACAAACGGACGCTCAAAGTGGGCATCTTCCCGTCTTCCGTCGTGGCAGCCACCGAGGACGGAGCGCCCCCTGTTGGAGCCCCGCGGATCAGCCACCCCATCCGAAGCTCCTTCCTTCACCTGAGTCACGGGGATCTCGACCCTGAGAGAGGATGGGGGTCTCCGGACCAGAAGGAGGAGTACGTCAGGGGTGGGGTGGGGTGGGTACACTGCTGCCGCGGTCATAAGTGCGAGGACCGGTCGTAAATTACTTTCTTCGTGCCGTTCTAACCTCGAATGGCCATAAGTGCGAGGACTGGTCATAAGTCACTTTGTCCGTGCCGTTCTAACTTTGAACGGTCATAAGTGCAAGGACTGGTCATAAGTCACTTTGTCCGTGCCGTTCTAACTTTGAACGGTCATA